GGAAGAATTCGAAATTTTTTAATCCGAAAAAGTAAAAACAAATTACAATCAATTCATATCGATTTAAAAACAAAAAATATTCTAATTCTAAAATTTTTACTCCGAAAAAAGAAATAAAAAAATTACAATTGCTGATAAAAATAATGAATGAAGGTATGTATACACCTTTTACATAATCAAATATTTCTATATCTCTTTTAATTAGGTATTCATTTTTAATAATGTCGTATAATATAAAAATTAGTTTATACTCCGAAAATTTTTTGTTCAGATTTTATAAAGTTTTCATTGGAAAATATTACAATTTAAAGTTGAAAAATAATTAAAAGTTGGAATCCGAAAAATCGAAAACTCCAATTATTCCAAATTTTTTACTCCGAAAAAAAATCATTCCGATTTTATTTAATTTTCTTTCAAAAATATAAGAACTTAAACTTGAAAAATTTTTAGTTTCAATAAATTTTTACTCCGAAAAATTAAAAAACGCCATTTTTTTAACAAATTGTATTACTTTTGAGAGGATATACGTTTTTAAACTTCACTCCTAAAATCAATTCCAAATTTTTACTCCGAAAATTTTAATTCGGAATTTACATATGTATGTACATATGTACATCTGTAAATTTGCAATTCTAATACTCATACGAAATTTTTAAAATACAAATACAAGTGGGCTATTTGAAATTATTATTCCAATATTTTTTTACTCAAATAAAAAAAAATCCGAATGTTATTCTATAAAACATTTCCTTCAAACTTAATTTCGAAAATTTTACGCCGAAAAATGTTAATCAGAATTTATTTATCTTTCTGTATAGTCACTAAAAAATATTGAAATTTAAATGTACATATGTATGTACTTTTCAATTGGAAATTTTACTTCAAAAAATAATTCAGAATTTATGTTTTTCCGAATGTTCATTCAAAAATATTAAAAAGTACAGAGGCTATTCAAAATTAGCAAGTAAAATGTTTTTTAAATARAAATGTTGTTTAATTCTTAACATTTACGATTAATTTATTTGCGAAAATGTCACTCCGAAAAAAAGGCAGGGTTTATTCCAAAAAAATATAATTCACCGCTTATTTAGTTTTCTGAATATTCTTTCAACATTTTTTTTTTTTTTTGGTTAATGGGCCTATTATAATTTCGAAAATTTTACCCAGAAAAAATATTAAAATTTAAATTTGTGTATTTTTACTCCTAAACTTTCATTCGGAATTTTACTCCGAAAAAATATAATTCAGAATTTCTTTAGTTTTTTGAATAGTATTTTACTAGTTTAATGGGCTTTTAAATAGTAAATCCTTCTATTTTATATTCGAAAATTTTACTCCGAAAAAACATTTTATTTCTTCTGAACATTAATTTAAAAATATGAAAATTTAAATGTAGATATGCACTTTTACTCCGAAATTCCCATTCGGAATCCTTACTCCGAAAAATTTGAATTCCGAATTTATTTAGTTTTCATAATATGCTTTCAAAACTCTATTCCTTCTCAAAGGGGAATGGCAAATGCACATAATAACTCAAAATTTCATACAGAAACGAGTACTACTACGCAAAAATAATTAACAAATAAAAATAATAATAAAACTACAATTAAATATATTTTTCTAAAAAATCACGAGCAATAGTGGAAAGCCTATTTACATCACGGCATATAGAATATATACAGAAATTGGTTGGACATGTTTCGCTTTTACCAAAAAACAAAGCAACTATGTATACCACTTGAGAGTAGAGTTTAAGAAATAGACACGAGCACTGATAGTAAATGTAAATACGTAATTAAAAGTTTCAAATGTCCCATGTCATTATTGTAAATTTTAAGTTTTTTTTTTTTATATATAAATTGATTTTGTGACTACGCTTACAGCAACGGATGATCCATTTTTGCCGCATCCTTCCGTCATAATCACACGCGCATAACGACAAACAAATAAAATGTAAATGCCGAATATAAGATAAAGTGATAAAACACGCGCTTCGCAGCTAAGCAAGGGTAACTGTATCGAATAACGATTTGGTACGATACAAATTGGTTGTTGGTTGCGTTGGTGATGGTAGTAGTAGTAGTATAGGTGGTGGTGGTTGGTGGTGTTGATGTTTTAACGAGTTGAATTGGATGGTTGGATGGTAATTGAAGGAAAAGGCAGTTTTCAATAATAAAAAAAAGAATATATATATTTTTAATTTTCACATGTCAAAATAAATAATGGGAAAACTAACAGTAAAGTGTAGTGAAATTGTAAAAAGGACTAACGCTCGTAAGGTGTAAAACTGTATAACAGAATTTGAAGTTTCTTCGTGGTAAAAGTGTATAAAAAAATAAATTACATAACTTATTACATTTTATTTAATATTTATAGCACGCTTGTAGAACGAAAAAAAACATTTCACCAAAATATTAATAAAGGGAAATACCTCAAGGCAAATAATGCTTAAAAACGCTTCAAGCATGTATGAAATTATATTTTTCTGAAGAGTAGTATTAAAAAAAAAAGGTAAATAACATTTAAATAAATACTTTATACATATGCTCCTATATAGTAATAAATATTCAAATATTAAGTATTTATGCTTAATTCAACGTACTTATTTACAACAAAAAAATATATATTTTAAGTTTGCAAAGCATTTTTATACAAAATATATCAACTTAAGCATTAAAATACTTAAAAAAAAGAAGAAAAACGTTAACTTCGGCTGCAAGGAAGTTTTAATACCCTTCACAGTTGCATTTTTTATAGCATAAAAGGTATAAATAGTTCTTAAATTGATTGTGATCGGTCAGTTTGTATGGCAGCTACAGGCTAAGGTGGTCTGAATTGAAAAATTTGTTCGAAGAAATTTTACCGTTATCTTGGATAATAATACATGACAATTTCGTGATGATATCTTGCAAAATAAAGAAGTTTTCCATGCAAGCACTGGATTTCGAGCGTACAGTTTGTATGCCAGCTATATGCTATAGTGGTCAGATCTGAACAATTCCTTCGTTGATGACACTATTTCCTTAGAAAATAATCCATGCCAAATTTCGTAAAGAAATCTATTCAAATAAAAATGTTTTCCATACAAGACCTAGATTTTAATAGTTCAGCTTGTATGGCAGCTATAGTGGTCCGAACTGAACGGTGATTATACTATTGCCTTAGATTAACAACCATACCAAATTTCATAAAGATATGTAATCAAATAAATAAGTTTTCAATACAAAGACTTGAACGCATAACCTTAAATCTGCTTATAGCAACAAAATTAGCGATACATGCTAAATTTTGCTCAATTTTAAGCAACAAAAAAAAAAAAAAAACTAAAAAATAATAAAATTTTCGGATAAAAATAACGCTACACTAGCTGATATTAGAATAAAAACTGTGTCTACAAAAAAAACTCAACTACTTTAGCTAGACTAAGCTACTCAAGCACTCTTCTCGAGTGACTACTGTACTTAACTAACTTATGTTTGTATGAAAATGTTGTTTATGATGCCTTAAATGCAAAGCTCCATGATATACAATAATATTTATATTTTTTTGATGGCTTTTAATACCGATGCGCGATGCAAGAATGCTTCCCGATGCTTTTTGGTGCAATGAAGCCTTAAGATTTTTGCGGTAATTTGCTGGTAAATAGCATAAATAACGCTGAAAATTTGTAGAAATTGTGCTATAAAAGGTCTGCAGGTGGTTAAAATGAGTGGAAGAGACACACACGTTACTTATAACTGTATATAAACTTATTTACATATTTATATACATATATTTATAGTAAAAGTAATTGTATACACGTTTTGGCTCTAACCCGCCTCAGGTAACAATATTATGCAATAAATAGTACAATAAATGGTGAATATGGTTTTGATGACCAAGTCAAGGGTGAAAATTGCACCAGATAAACACCGTTAACACTGTTAATGCTAAGTTAAAYAAAACTCTTCACTAGATGCTTATGTAATTATATTTATATATAATTCTATATGTAAATATTACCAAACGGTTAGTGGACACGAACAAAGCGTTAGGTATTATTGTATTAAATAAATGGTGCTCTTACAACAACAAAACACCGTAAATAGACCGCTTGTTTACAATGTCTTAATAGGTGTTAAAATTAGCGCATTTTCTTTTTCATTAAGTGCTGAGTATTAACAAAAAGTCGCTTTTTAGTGCATTAGACACTAGTAGAAAAAAATAGTTTTTGTTTTTGTACAAGAAAGGGGCAAGGATTAGCTGGTTTTGTGATTTAGGTGGTTTGTAAATTTTTTCGTTTTTTTTTTAATTTTGGATTTTTTTGTTTATGCTTACAGCAACGGAGGAACCATTTTTGCCACTGCCGCCTTCAACAAACATTTTCGAAAAGTTGATCATATTCGCGAGATAACCCAAAGTAATGCCGATTAAAATGACATAATTCCAACGACCGCCAATGAGTGGAATCTAAAGTGTGCGTGCGTGCGTTTGTGTTTCGTGTTTCGAGTTTATTATTTGTTTGTTTGTTTCGCAATATATTTTGATTTTGATTTTTGACACACCGAAAAAGAAAATTGGAAAAAAGAAAGAAAAAGAAAGTCTGATAATTTTGWGTTTCATACAAAATGTTTGCTCTTAGTTTTGTCACAGCGCCGGGGTCAAAGTGTGCTGCAACAGTGGCTACTAGATTGTATTTATTATTTTTTTTT